TAATAACTGAAAAATAGGAAATATTAACAACTTTAAAGATCAAAAATAATGGAAAAATTGTCAAAATGTACAGGAATTTTCCACGGTCACGGAGAAAATAATTATTGATTTTACCGGTATTTTAAGCCTTCTGTTTTATATCAAGCATAATCATGAAGCATTATTTTAAAGCATATTATAGTATGCGTAAGTATATAATAATTAATAGAAGCATATTATTGTTATAAGAACTATGAAGCATAATTATCTACACGCCGTTGACTATAGAAGAACAGTCGATGCAAGAAATTAGTGGAATAGTAGGAACAACGAGCCTGCATGTATATGCCTATGACACGCTTAATTCGTGCATGTTTTACCTCTTGGCTTTAATTAATCAAAAACAATGAGCAGAAAATGGATAAACATTTCCTTTCTGATGACATGATGAAGTATCTATAGAGTGTACGATCTGTCAAGCTATTTCTAGTAAAAACGCCTCAAGTTCTTCTATGTCTGGAGAAGCTTATTAACAATTCCAGATGTTTTTAATCCCAATCAGACGTTAGAAAATTCTAAGTTTTTCAAGACACGCACAGATATTTCAAAGTGCTCTATAATTTGTCTAACACTGTAAAATTCCAATGCTATGTATTTACGTTTTACCGAATTTCGCACTTGCACTTTAATCAGCTAATAACATTTTATAGAAAAAGGTGAAAATTAGGTGTTTGAGTTATAAATGAAGCAATATCAAACCTTCCTTTCGTTTTAGTCGACTAAATCATTATTGTGTACTAAATGTAAAATAAAATCAGAAGATTATTTCGTACAGTTATTTGTTACATGTCATGGGCTGTGTTAAACATTATAGTCACTCAAAGAATGACGCTAGAGAAAACTTTCTCTAGTCTAGAGAAAACACATTTTTTTAGGAGTAACTGTGAAAGCTGCGTCAGACCTTTTAGCGGGAACATTACGCACTACATTTACAATTGAAAATTTGCCTTAAACAAACGAGGTTGATGAAGTACAAATTACAAAATTACAAGGGGCACAAAATAAACAAAGCATGTAACAAAAGATAATGAAGACGTTGTGCAGTGATGGTATGCTACACTATAGTTACAGAAATGGTGAAAAATTTTAATAGAATAGAAGTGTCGGCATTGAAGAAATAGGCCCATGCCCCATGGCCTGTTGCCGATTCTTACACTTTTCGTTACTTGATTCCACAAGGGATAGGGAGTCAATTAAAACAATTCATAGTGGAGCCCGGCTGCTTACAACTGAACCCTACACTCGAAGAACGAACTTCAAGGAACTGCCACAATCACAATGCTTCTTATTTGATGTCATAATCGGCGAAGTGCGGCGGCTTACGACTAACAGCGCGGCCACAAGCTGGTCTGCTACAATTTTTAATGACCCAATTCAAAACGACGTCAAGAAAAGACATTTTGATCGAGGCTGCTGTTCTGAAGCGGGAATTGATCGACTCATCATCATGGGCTCATAACTGATTTTTTAAATAAGTGCATTTTCAGAACTGAATAGTACATTTCGTTTTACTATTTTATATTCGCTGGAATCTGCAAATTACGTGATTCTTAGAGACAAATTTCTACGGACATTCATAACGGAGAATTTCTCTTAACAACGTCCTACTGATTATTTGTATCCAAACAAAAAATTAAATTCGATTTTTAGAATTTCGCTGGAAATTTATAATTACTTGAGAAAAAATGCGAACGTAGAAAAACGCTTTGTTCCAAAACTTTTCTGCGGAAACGGAAAAGCAATTAATATTAATATGGAGGTGTAGATAGAGGAAAAATATTAATATTGGTGACATATATGAATAAAATAATAAATGTAAACTTTTACTTTTGTTCTGAGGCAAAAAATTACTGATTGAATGTGTATCAACTAAGCTGGCAAGCCCGAAAAAAACGGCTCGTATATACAAATAAAAGACTGAACCCCTGAACTAATTTTATGTAGTAAATTTCTATTCAGCTAGCAGAAAACATTTCTCGTTAAGTATTTCTTATAAATTAGCATTACAAGTTATCATGACCTAAGTTTTACGTACACAATATTACACAGTCTAAGTAAGTAATCTAATACCTTGAGTGAGCATTTAGCAGTCGCGCGTCACTGGACGAACACGTTTCATATCCACAACCTTGAACGCTGCAAACAATGGCATAACGCTACCCACCAACACCTGTTATTGACACCCATGCTCTTACCACTAACTATGCCTCCTGAGCCGCGACCTCACGACGAGTTCAAGAGGCAAGAAAGCACCAAACAAAACCATTCCAAGGCTCGATCAAGGTCTTTATTACTAAGAAGCTCAGGTATAATCGATATACATCATCTTCTTTTAGTATTAGATGATTAGAATTAGATATCAATCTACATTGATATTGCATCAATGATATCGAGAACACAAGAGGAAAATAATTCAATTTTTTCCGATTTTCGGAAGTTTCAGTGAAATGATTGCAAATGAACGAACCACCAAAAATGTTTAATTCAATATTAAATTATTTAACTCAGAATCAGACAACTGTAGGCCAGATGCCATAAAATTGTTACGATCTAATGTATGTAAAAAATTTTAAAAACCACGTACTTTAATTTAAGATATTTACCGACCTCCAGTTCACGATAACAATTTTCTCGTTTCCAGCATCGCACCAATTTTTTGGGCGAATTTCCTCTAAAATATATTTTATTCGGGAATACTAATTGTTTTTCTTATTGCAGCATATCTGAAAATAACCTAAAAAACTGTTGTTCCAATATTTGGTTCTAGAACACGATACAATTTTTTTGTGATCTTAGATGGAATAGAAGCGCTATTGCAATAAGACGTACTGTTAGCGAGACACCAGCGCTCAAACTTCAACTGAAGGTAAATATTTATAGCTTAACTCGCAAGTATTTGTTTAGCAGTTATCCATTAGTTACTATTTTTGTGCGCATTAATAAGTTATTGAAACAACGTAAATGATTATTGTTAAAATAGTTTCAGCGCCACACCAATGACTCAAATTTTTTTCTGGCATAGGAAACATTTATAATAACTTAATTCGTTTCATCATGCAATGCCTTTAAGCATATTGCACGAGTCAATTCAGTAGATTATACGATATCATCAATGATATCGATAATTTACTGAACAGTCATGCAATATCATTCGTGAAACTGCATAATATATTAATATAACATCATAATAGTTAATATCATGAATGCTATCGCAAGACTTTATTCAGTAATGCTAGCAGGCTTACATCTCTCGAGTCTCAGCATGTATCTCATGACATCGCTTTACACGTTTATCACTGAAGATTCATTCATCACAAGCCGCTGCCATGCTAATCCATGTAATCTGTCATAACAAGGTTCAATTTCGTGCGCAAATCTGCCGTACGAACGTACGCACGCTATGCACGCTCGCGCCTCGGCGCTCACTTCGCGCGTTTTCCACGCGCATTGACGCGCGGGCGTTTGAGTGAGACGCACGTACGTTTTCTTGTGTCTTGTGGATCACTTGGCAGTGATTACAGAATTTAACTACCGTGTGCCAATATATACGGAAGAATTATCCACAGAGCAATGGTGGAGACCTATAAGTTAATTGAGCACTGATGTGCTTAATATTTTGGCCGAGTTATTCTCTACTTAACCGTCATATGTAGAAGAGAATAGATTATTTTGGAAAATAACATAACTGCAGGAACGATTTCGACAAGGAAATTTTCTGTTTGTTATGATTGTTTTATTCACTTATTATATAGGAAAATAATTTTCAACGTGAGGCGTTTATTTGTTCATTATGTGAGTTACTATGTGCTCGTTCATCGTTGAGCAAAATGACGCGTTGGAGTCTTTTCCTCAACCGAAATTTCTTTCCCGGTTAATGGAACTGAATATAGCAGGCAAGCAGGGATAAGTACCGTGTTGTGTATAAAATAATATTGATATTAATAATTAAACAGTACAGTTATCACCTGAAACAATGAAATTCTCGAATTTATTATCGATCAAAATCATCAATAACTAAATGCTGATTCTAATGAGCAAAAATCTCAGGTTAAAGTTAAGTTGTTCTTCTTTTAAACAAACGTGTGTACAAATGTTATACATTACAAGCGTTTTCATAAGCTTTTCATTTAGCAGTATCTATCTAACGAAGAGAATCTTGTATAGTATTAGCACCGACCTTAATTATGATGCTAACTGGTGCTAGCAACATGTGTACAGACAATCTTGATCCTGTAAGGCCATTCGAAATCCTTTTTCAAGTTTCAGAGGCGATGCTAGTGTAGCAGAATAATGAATAGCGCAGGCGTCAGCTATGAAGCAATACCCACCTCATATTACGTATGTCAGCAAATAAACATCAGTGTAAAGATGGCAGGTCGGCAATGTAAGAAAGTTGGTAAATCATTCATCGCTATGTATGGGTGGGAAACAGCAGGTTTAAATGAATGACGCGCTAAAGCTGCACAAACAAGAAAGATACAGCTATAGGGAACTGAAGTAAGAGTAATACTTCCTTTGTAACCATTCTATCCCAAAGCCGTCCTGGCTACATTAAAACTTTGCTCCACAACTGACGTGTCTACCTTACAATTTAGAATCAAAATTTTACCGTGGGATTTTGCAAAATATGATGAGTTCTTTTATATCAACCGCCAAATGTATGACTCTCAATGCGATCGCTCGCCAGCCACAATTCGATGCAGATGCAAAAAGTGCTTTAGGAATAATGAGCTTTGCTCCTCGAAATTTTTTTATTGGACTGCCCTCATATATGGGAAATATCATTTTGCATTTGCATTCATATTTGAACAACATATGTTTCATAATTTTTATCTGACAGTTAAATCAGAAAGAGTTTTATCGGATCAGTTGAATGTAAATTTGCGTAATGAAGACAACAACTGAGAAAAAATTTTAGTCTTCTAATTTTTTAATACTTTAAAAAATATTTTTTGTTTCCAGATTTCACCTAAGACATTTTCTAAATATCTCAAAAAATTGTAAGTCAGAAAAATCAGTTATTCGAGTGATATTTTTTTGAAAATACGAAATACTGCACCAATATAACGCACACAAGTTCATACTGAAGCTGCAGTGACTTTTAAAGAGAATTAGTTGCTTCAACGGTGCCTATGCAGTGATTGAATGTGAGTTGTTGTATCACAAATATTCAAACTAGGAGTCACGGGAAAATTGTAAATCGTCAAGTCCACAAGGGTTTCCGCAAACATCAAAGAGGTGAGTGCTGAGCAACTCGAAATGTGCCCTTTTGAAAATAAACAATGTTTCTCTACTACTTAACTTGCATTTGTGAATTCTAGGGGGAGGAACATTTCTCATGTTGGGAACTTGGTAAGAGAACACTATTAATTTCTTTTGTGTGAAACCTTTAATACTTGAAGGTTTGAGGAAAACATTTTTCATTCAAAATGCACGCTAAAACACTCCTCATGCTGCAATAATTGAATCGCCAACTCTGGCATTGATTGTTGACAAACAAACTAGCGAATTTAGATTTTGATGGTGAATATATTTTGCATTTAGGATGTTTTTTCTTTTCAAGAGGAACCGAGTTGCAATGTCGAACTAACGCTTCCTGAAGCAGCGCCGTTGCGAATATTTCAAGGTCTCCACGATCTTCTGCACCTCAATTTTTGTCGCAGAAATTTGAGGAAACTACGTCTTCCGGTGACTTTGTTTACAGATACGATCAAAATATGCCGTAAAGACGGAAAAAACACAATGTTTGCGTTTACTTGATGTAAACGGCTACTGACTGACTATCGTCAGTCATGAAAAGATCCGGTCAAATGAAACGATATTAGATCTTCTGTGAACATTAAGGCACGAAAAGGAAAAGAATCGGCGACAGGCCACATCAGGCCTACATTTCAGCGCCGAGATCAATATGTTATGTTATGTTAAACAAGAGAGATGCGTAGGTTTGTTCGTGATAACTTCCACAAGTTTATATACGTCTAAGTTTGTACGATCGAAGTCCAATTTGCCGAAACCAATCATGGGATGCAAATGAAGGGAATTTTAAAGCAGCAGAAAAGTATAAGAGCAAAATAAAGCACAAATTAATTGAGTAAAATTGAACGTAGAAATAAATGAGTACTTACATGAATTTTAGGTCATTCATTGATTTCACTATATTAGATTTTCCAACAATTGTGCAGTTTTACTCCGTGCATTTTTGTCATGGGACATTACAATGAATGTCCGGCGAAAAGAAACGTAGAATAAATTCGTTTTACTGATCGCACGTTCGTTCATCGTTTCCAAAACCTGGAGCGTTTGCGGCGTTGACCAGGAAACGACAATAAAAATAGTTTCCTTTTATTTAAATAACAACTGAGAGAGATTCGATCACTAGATTGGAATGTGTGTGACTCACGAGTCAAAACCTTGAGGAGGTTGGATTTTGGAATCTTGTTAACTGATCTGGGTTGTAGTGGTCTGGAATGCGCTGTAATATATGCAGGGTTGAAGCATCCTGAAATGCGCTGCAATATTCAGTGTTGTAAACATTATAATCAGGGTTGTAATGAGCGGGAATGCGTAGCATATACAGGGTTGTAAACATTATTATTAGGGTTGTAATGAGCTATGATGCATAACAATGCGTATGACCTTTTCAGCTCAGCCTCATATTGGGAAGTTACACGTTATATAAAATTTTTTGAAACCAAATAAGCCATGAAAGGCAAATATATTCATCAAGCGAGCTAACCATAAAATGATAATATTAATTTGAAATTAAAGTAATGTAAGTGTAACGTCTAATATAAATGAGAAACATTGAATACTGCGGTCACCTATCGAAGGCGGAAGTCTGAGAATCTCATTCCACTAATAAATTTTAAAAGGAACGTAACGTCTAATAAAAATTAAAAAAACATTGTGTACTGAGGTCATACACTGCTAATAAATGAATATCTATGTTGCTAATCATTCGGTCGTAGTGAAGATAGTCTAGTAAACATAAATACAAACTATTAAGATACAAGACACAGGTCCGATTATGATATTTAATTGATTAAATTTTTTAAGAAAACGTAACGTCTAATATAAATTGATTTAAGCAAGCGTCTTGACGACGAGTCTGCCTCGCCGGGCTGCGTCGCGGCCACAACAAAAATGAAAAAGAAAGCCGCCAGGAAAGCGAGTTAGGAAAGAGCGTTCACAGGAATATTTATGACGAGGAGAAATTTTAAGCGGCCTAATTTTTGTGCAGTAAAAAAGTTGCACGGCTTAATAGGAGCTGCATGAAGCTCGTTAATTTTTTAATAAAACTATTATAATTTTTGTCAATAGCCGTGGATTATATACTCTCGTGTTGAGCGGGATATGAAAAATATGAGCTATTCATTGAAAACCCATTTTCACTATAAGTATTGATAAATATTTCATCGTACGCTCGAAATGAATAGGATTTTATTTTCCCATTCCAATAGCACATGGTAATTAAAATTTGGAACAATTTTTTGAACACGCAGCATTCAATAATTTATTTTCTACTCTTTGATCATCTAAAATTACATCGTGAATTCCACAAACGAAGCTCATATTCAAGGGGACACTGCCATCAAAACGATGAATAATCCAGCGCCAGCCAGACGCTGGTCGGTAGCACAACAACTCCACGGTGACCGCGAGCTCAATTAAAGTCTCTGGCGCTGGACGCGGTCAGCTACCAAAACCTGCAACCCATACTTTAGTGGCTTAAGAAACATTGTTATAAAATGTTCAGAGTACAAATATCGACATATAATGACGACATTTAGTCGCATGATACATTGTTCAGTCATATACGTTTACTAAAGTAATTGATTCTTCATAAATATTCACAGTATGGCTAATTCAATGTCACATGCCCGTCATGTCATCATATAACAGTTTAGGTGTTCTGACATGTCATGTGTAATTATACGATTATGAATTAGACAATTTCTCTTAGCTGACGCTACGAGCTTGGCCCCAACTCTGGCTTGTAACCGCAGGTACGATTGCTTCCTCGCCATTAAGCTGAGGTAGATGTTGCATCATCGTAGCTACGCATTGTAGTATAAGCGCCTGTAAGTTAAACGCTGAGATGTTTACTTGCATAGTATAGAATTTTCAAGATATGTATCTCACATTATTTGATTATTAATATAAAGCCATTATGGGTAGGTGCCGTTTTGAGCAATTTGTAGTCACATAGTGTAAGAGCACGTAATAGAAAATAAAAAACAATTTATATTAAATAAAAATTCATTAGAAATATAAAATATTTTATTCTCGATTGATAAATAAGATTGCTCGAACACACACGTCATATGGTGTCAGTTATTGGCAGTTTGACATTACATGAAATTTTGAATTTAATCGATTCCATCGCTGGATTTTGAACACTTCTGTCTTGGGGCAGACTCTAAAAAAATTATCCTCTATTGATGATTAGAAAAGGGAATCTATCTACAAGAAATATTCCAATAAACCTTACAAGACGCGGATGAAAACTTTTGAGGAGCAAACTGTCCTCACAAAATCGAATCATAACTGGTTGTAATGGAACGTCGTCTGTGTTAAAAAAGATTTGTGCATGTTTTTTTTCCAAGCAGAAAAAAGTGTAATCGTCTTTTGATTGAGAATTACGGCAATTTTTCAACCGAAAAATCACATAGGTTATTTTACAGTGATCTCTTACCTGCCTTACGTCACGTACATTTCGTTATGACACCTCAAGTGGGCGACCTCTTGACACTTGACCTCAAGTCGTCGCTGGCAAGAGGCTGAACTTCAAACTTCAACCTCTTGAGAAACTAGACCAATTCCACAATTCGTTTGTGAGTTTAAAAACTGCACAAATTAACTTCCACAGTCGCATGTTATTAATATCCAAGAATGGTTGAAACACAATTAAGGAATTTGTTAGAGGCCAAATTTTTGACAAGGAACAGCGATCAACTCAGTTATAAAATTTTTGCACAAACATGAAATAAGCAAAAATATTTCGCAACATCTTGCATTTTAAAATAAAATAATTTATCCAGCTCTCTCGCTTGCTAGGCAATGAGCGAGCAATTCAAACATGAATCTTGGCCCACTTGTTAGGTGGGGAAAGTACCTGTAGATGCACGCGCGAGGATATGGTTCATTACTTAGACGGAAGATTGTGGAGTGATTGCTGCCTGAAGATGCTCAGCAATCATGAGTCTTGACTACAATCTCATTGAAAGCGAAACTTGCAAGACGCTTGCGTGACTGATGTCGAGCATGGGACAGTTTTCTATAAAATGTAGAGCTCTGTTGCGAATAACATATGAAATGTAATTTCTTGAGATTTATATTGAAGTACTGATGACAAATTTCGTGATCCATCATTCAATGGAGATTTATTCCGGGCAAAGATCTTAAATATAATGTTGACCGATTGAGTTCGCATATATATCAACTAAAAAGGTTGGTACGCATACTCACATTGACTTTTCCCGAACAGACAATATTTATTGAATGACAAAAGCCTCATCCTTGATCAAGTTTAAGACTTACCTTCAAAGACTATATTGGTGAATTCACTATTTTCCAAAATCCGTCAAATAATAACTGTCTTAAAAACGACGCTTTTAATAAATTTTGTATTCAGGCGTCGCGATTACAACTCGAGATGCCTCTCGCTGAACTGGAAGATGGGGCTTAATTCTAAGACACATAATATTATTTGGGTGAAGGAACGCTCTTGACATTCTGCGACGATTGTTCCTGAATTTAATTACTAGGTGAAGCCATTTCTCAACAGGCTTCTCTTTTATGCTAAGTTGATATTCGATATTTGGAACAATGGGAATCGAAGCTCATGGCCTTGACCTGTATACTGTTTTCAGATGAAGATCATCCGAGTAATCTCAGATGCCGAGGTAATTTGAAACTCAACTAGAAACCCTGGATTGGTTTTAGCTTATTACATTAGCATAAAAGTCCCATCATCAACAATGGCATTTTAAATTCATTGACCATTATTTTTACAGAAAAAACGCAATTATCGTGAGGTCTAATAGATAATAAATTAACTGTAAGCAAGAACGTAAATTTGGCCCTCGATGCGAATTCATCGTATTCTTCTACTTATTAAAAGCAGCGAAAAGTCCTGAAAAACCCGGGCGGCACTTTGATTGCTTACCAGGCTGCATGGAAGTGCCAGGTCAATAGCGGCACAAAAATGGGGGAATTGTTCGTCGGAATTTACGTTA